AGACTATGCATCTAATAATTTACCTTTGGAGCTCGACAGCCTAATTTTGCAAAGATAACTTCTCCTTTACGTGTTGGCCAGAAATTTTTATGCCAAGCGAACAAGAGCTGACAATATTCACTTAGCAGAGTAATTAATGTTTTACCAGAGTCTAGGAATATGGCACACCTTCGATATCTCTCACGTATTATGTGTCCTGATGTGGAAATAATTGAAGCTATTGGAACAATGAAGACGGCTATCGCCAGAGCGTTTGCCATTTCATTCATTTTTATCCTCTTGTGCCCCGGAACCCAGATAAATCTGATTAGAGTAATATGAGTTGTAACCACAAAATACGCGTACATGATAATTGCTAATCACTACTTGAAGTGAGCACTGAACACAAAGACTCATGAGCCTGTAACAATGACCACACTTGAGGTTTGTGGGCTGATGTTTCTTATTGCCATGATTGCCAACAGAAATTCCGTCGAAAATATTGACAAGAAATTGGGAAGCTTTAATCAGAATGACCGCAGTTAAAGGTCTCGGAGAAAATGCCAGTGCCAGATTTTTCTTCGGATTGTGAGGCATCTGCAGCTATGAGGTTCGCTATATTTATCCTCTCTAAGTACTGTTGCAGAAAACCATTTATTACGTGCGGAGAGAATTTTTTGGCACGATTTTGATATATATCATCAAAAACTATTTCAAGGTTTTGCCTTGCAGTGATAATGAAAGAAATTTCTAGCAGTTTAACATTTAATGGATTAACAGGTGATTGTAAGTAGCCCACCTGTGCAGTCTGAAATCAATGACAATAAAATGAAAAAAATGTCTGGCTCATGCATGAAAAGAATTTTTAGTTTTGTAGTATCGCATAAATTTTCAAAAATATTGGTATCGTTAGGATTCTAAAGTTTCACGGAAAAATAGCAATCTTGCATCTACGTAGAGAACATTGCTAATCCAAGGCATTACCTTAGGGTCTCTCTTTCCAGGCGTACCAGAGAACGCAATTCATAAGCTGGTGCACCCAAATATAAGAGACATCCAAATTCTAAAGGCGCTGCACGTACATTTTGTATGTCATATTTAAGGCGTCTCTCCGCATGCCCGATCTACTACTGCATAGACTTCGTAGGACACCTAGCGCTCGTAATTCGTTCTTGGCTATGTATTCAATGTGTGTATGCCACAGGAGGTTGATATCATAAATTACTCTCGGGTATTTTACCGAGTCCTCTTGGGGTATATTCTTCAGGCTGCAAGTCAATCTGAAGGCAACTGGGCTATCGAAAGTGAAAGCTGTAATTGCGCTTTTATTGCATTAAGACCTAACTAAATAGCCTGAAACCAATTTTTAATGGGACAAATATACGATTGTAAGCTTGTGTAAAACAAATGTATATCAGTATCTGAAGCGAAAGAGGCTATGTTGTCTGCATGCATGTGTGTATACTCCAGCATAACTAGGAATTGTGCTTAAGGCGGAAATGTTGTACGCCCATGTACTCAGATTTGGGTGCACGTTAAAGAACCCCAGGTGGTGAAAATTTCCGGAGCCTTCCACTACGGCGTCTTTCATAGTCATACTGCCACCTGGTGTTCTGTGCCAGTAAATGGTGAGCCAGTTCTGTGCCGGTTAACAAAGAAGACGAAGACGAGCAACCCGTACAAGCGGAGACGTCCTTCTTTGTGCCTGAAATTTTGACAGCCGCGTCTCCTTGTACGTTTGTTCGAGCTCCTAGCGCATGACAATATTGTGGTTTTGGGACGTTAAACCTCACAAATCAATCAATCAGGAATTGTGCTTAGTAAAGTATTAAAAAGAAGAGGAGGTGACTGCTTCCTGAGGATCTCCTCGTAACTGAATGTATATTTGAGGAATGACCTTTTAGTGATCAATACAAAACCCTTCCATTAAAAAAAAAACTCACTAAAACACCTCACCACACAAATATGGATGTTATGATACTTTACTTGATCCTATATTATCTTATGTTCTACGCTATTGTAGGCTTCTGAGATATCCGATTACCAGGGCCGCTATTTAACTATCTGCGACAGCGTGCTAGTTTGATTCAGCTCTTCAAGTCCACATGGGAATACCAAATAGAGCATCCAGGTCTAAAACCAATTTAAAGGGGGCTCAGAATTTCTTTGTCTTCTACAAATTTAATTAGACTAGCACAAAGAAATCTTTCTATTACTTTAACCACATCGAAGTTAGTACAATGGGTCTAATGTTGTCCAGGGTGTATTGTGCACAATATGTGTTGCATTTGCCTACTCCTGTGATGCTTATTTAGGCATTGTATTTGCCCACTCCTGCGATAAACCGTCGTGGCTGCAGTATGTTGAAATAAGTAACTAAAAAATTGGCCCCGTATATATTTGTTTCACTGCAAATGTCGACCAAAGACGATAGTCTTCCTGCTGGAGAGAGTTAATAAAATGTTTATTTGACGTTCTGCGCGAGAAAATTGGTGAATGGGGTTCTCGAGGCGCTGCGTGAGACATGAGCACCATCTGGCAGTAATCTTAGAAAACAAAAAGATGGCCTCCGATATAGCTAGCGTGCGGCGTGCGCGCACCATCTCGGAGGCCATAATTTGTAAAATGCAAGGCTACAAGTAGGTGTCAGTGCCGTATCGTCTTAGCAAAGAGTAGGAAGCACGCACCTTTTCGTGCATAATGGCGCATTGTTAGCGCAGTGTAATAAACGTTACGATACTTAGAATACACACTACAGATTACTGACCTGTTCATATTGCGCCTCAGATATGCGCATATTTGCTTTAGAATCGAATGTGCGCACAAGTGTGATTTCAGAAACCAGATCAAGATTGGTGGGTTTTGGCTTAATCGCTGAATTAATTAACTGACAGACAAATCGAACGAGAAACACACAGACAGACCAATTTTTTTTTGTGCTCAAGTATCCCAAGAAAGGCCAAGGATCAGCTGCTGCCAAGGCACGCTCACAGACACAGTCCGTGCAGCCGCTGCGGCAAGTTTGTCCGGCGTAGTGTGGGCTGAATACGACCGAAGAAAGGTGAACTCTTTTCCCAGGGTGCTACAGCGAGATTAGCACGTTTGTGTCTAGCGCTAGAGTTAGGACGTTTCTGTAATAAGCCAAAAAAAGACCTATAGCATCAGTCAAGATGTTCAAGTAAGATTGACTAGCTTCGTTGTTTAAGCTCTACACGACTAGCATAAATTTTTTTCATTTATTTTCCTGTCGTAGATACAGGCCACACATGTCCTCATTTGAATTTATTGGCATCGATGTTAAAATTCATTATGACATCACTTACGATGTCCAAGGCCTAAAACGTTTTCGTGCCTGTTACTGACGCTTGAAGCGCGCTTCTTTATTGCTCAGAAATTCGGCCTCCATTGATGAGACCAAATTCTGAAGCATTCGCATTGATAAATTTATGTGGTTCTTTTTCTTTTTTTTTGTGGAGAGGATTGATTGAGAGGTTGCGTCCGTTGGGATAATTTTTCTTTGAGAAGAGAAGTTCATTGTAGCTCCTCAGGCTGGCGTGTCCGACTTATCGCTCTTGTTCGGCATATCGGTCGTGTTCGGCTTGATTTTGGGCTTGTACCGATCGGCGATGCTCTGAACGGCATGCGTGCTTAGCGTGTCGCGCTTCCGTCGGTGAATGTTGTTCAAGCGGCGCTGCGCGCGGCGGGATTGTCTCAGCTTCCTTGTCGCCGACGGCCCGTCGACGTCACGTACTCTGACCGGGGACGTCTGTCTTCTTAGTTCTAAATGCTGCAGAGACACGTTGGAATAAAACTGATGTTGTAGTAAGAGCTCCGATGGATCATTTTCTCTTTGTTGTCATTAGGGCACTGTTAAAAAAAACGAGACTTCCTTTAAAATTTTTTTAGTCATTAACATCGGAGGTCTCGTTCCGAAGCCTTCGGGTTATAGCGAGTGCTTATTGGTCACCTGCCCATTCGTTCAGGATGACGTGCTATGTGACGCCAGCTAGAAAAGAAATGAGGCCTCCACAATGACTAGCCAGGTGCGATGATAACACTTTGAGGTTCGCACGTACGTAAGTACACGAAAAAACGGACGCGGAGGTGACCACCGCCATGTAATTCAATCTGTAAGAGCATCGGTCGCGTAATCTTAAGGTAGCACGTTAGGTTCCTGCCGACGGCAAGTTGTCTTATCATGCGCTTTACTTTTATCGCATCTACCTGCCGATCTATGTCTTTCTGGTTAACCTCCCTGCCTTCTCCCTTTCGTTGCTTCCTCCTTCCTCTACCTCCCAATCACTGCAACACACTCAAAACAGGATGATTAAAATGTTATCTGATGTTTTTAATTAAAAGTTGTGCCGAACAGCAATAACGAGACCATATAATTGCTATTCTTTATAACAACAATGAGGATAGTGATACTTTCTGCAGGCCTTTCACGTTATATATTAGCATATAATAATCTTGCATACCCGCTATTACCAGAATCATGCGTGTAAGAAACGATCATGTACAGTCTTTGTCGAGAAGTTTTATATTATTTAACTCGGTATTGCGCCTTGCCTACGGCCTTCGTACCTATTTGAGAATCTGTTACAAGTTGATTGCTAATACAACCTCAATTTACACAGCCAGTGTCATTTGTGTTAAGCGTTTAAAATCCCGGTTACCATAAAGGCACATTGCGCTTTCGCTGCACCGGATTGTGCGATAGGGCTGAGCGACAACGTCTTTGTAATGCAGGGGATTTCAATGCTAGCACATTACAAGTTGTAGCAGTTACCTCGCCATCAGTGAATAGGTTATTCCAAAGGAGCTTTGTGGTATGCTTCCTTTCCCTGCCCCCCTCCCCTTGGACATGCTGTAACCAAATTCTGCTACAGATGATAGGCTCTGGTGGTAGGTACTAAAATTGGCGTACGTTGCCCGAGAGTTGCGAACTGAAGCGCTCTCGTGCCAACAGCTGAAAACTTGACGTGTTATCCTAACAAAATCTTGACCTTTAATTTCCACAGACCTCTCTCGATATGCCTGGACCTACGGCGGCCCGGGCCATGTATTGGTCTTCGTCGGAGTAGTAAGCTTCCAGGCCCATGTCTTGGAACAGTTCTGTACACGAGACAATAAACAGAGTCCAATGAGTGGGACGTTTTGCAGCAAAGTCTGAAGCCTTGTACAAGAATGGCTCGGATTTTCAAAGCCGGATGTCACGTTTAAAACTGACGCCTGCCTAGGAAACAACTATGTACGACGTATTCGGAAATCGCGAGTCATGTGCGCTCATCACTACTTCGTCATGTCCACAAGCGTGCAGAGGGTTTTCCACTCAAACGGGGAGGGAGAGGAACAAGCTTTATTACCCCCCCCCCCCCAAATCGTTCGTGTTCACAAACAACAAGGTGCAAAATAGATGCGAAAATAAAAATAAAATGTTGACATGCGTCTCACGAAGGCATGCCTACCCTAAGACACCAGAGGTAAAGACATGGCGTATATAGTTCTCGTAATGCAACATTGGAGACCCTCGGCCACCTTCATAGGCAAAATCCTACGTGTTCATGGTCCTGTCTTTTAGGGTGACATGATAGCTCTGACTGCGCAATGGTATAGGGCTGGCTTGGCGATGACCTAAATTAAGGGGACGCAGAGCACACCTCCTCCCTCTTCTTGTGCATAGGCGTATGCTTGCGCCCGCACTAACGATTATACGCCCAACCAATTGCGCTGCTAAACCCATTAAGTGATCTAAAGGAGCAAACGTGCACAACAAGAGTATGCAGTTAAGGCTGAAGGTTGAGGAGAATTACAAGAATGAGGAGCCGGAGCAGAAAGATACAAAAGCCCCGTGAAGGGCTCCCACTCCTTGTAGTATCCAAAATAGCAGTAAGGATGTGATAGATAATCCATTACACGCTTCATATCAAAATAATGCCGCATGAATAGCATGTAAGTCATAACACGATGAAAAACAAAACAAAACAAGAGACATACATCCTGAATTAATTCGAATAAGTAGCGTGGAATACAGAAGCTTTCGTATGCTCAGTAAGGTTCAGAAGTTTAGAGACCACTGAAAACAATATGAAACTGAATATACCAATTGCTTCGGCATGTACTGCTTATATTGCCGACTTGTTCTGAAACATGCCGACAGCAGGCACTGTGCAGTCTTTATAAATACACAAGATGCTAGGAAATCGAGATTTCCCTCACACCTAGTGGTCTCTAAACTACTGCTGCCGACGGCGTTTGTCACCACTCCTATTAAAATTCACGCTTTTATTACGATTAACGATATATATCAGCACGTGATCGGAGTTACGCTGTCAATAGGTAACGTTGAAACAGACTGACCATCGGCGCCTCGGGCGAATCCCACGAGGAACACTGTGAACACGACGACCACGACCCAGGGAGTGAGCAGTTCATGGTCTTCGGCGCTTAATGGTGGCAGAGAGCCCAGTTCCGGGGCGGCGCCCTGCACGGTGCCCAGGCTTATCCAGGACGCCACCTGGCGCATGAAGACATTTGATGGCCGCCGCCGCGAACGATGCCGGTCGAGTCCGCCTCCATCGGGTTGGCCGCGAACAGAGCCGCGCCAACAAAAACTGATGATGACGATGGCGATGAGGACGATATCCGTGCTTGCTTGTTTTTTATTGTTCCTTGATTTTCGGTTCCTACCCTTCATGGCGCATTGCCCATGAAACGTGCTGTTAATATGAAAGAAGTTTTTTTTAAAATTATGACAGGGGATAAGGAAGAAATTGATCCCCAGAGTAATAAACAAAAAATAAGCATGACCACTCAATATAGAATAATTCAATAATGTGCAAACAAATGAACTAATAAAATGAATTCTGAAGTACAAAAATTTGGTAGGGAATAACGTTAACAGGAAATTCTACCGTCTACAACGCAAAGCAGGCGTTCCTGTCACTGAATCCCAGAAAAAACGCACCAAGGAAAAGAATATTTTGAGAATTCAGAGTAATGTGTAAGTTTCTGAACAACTTTTAGAAATGCTTCTTTTTAGGGCGTGTAGGAAGACGACAAGTAAGCAAAAAATGATCAAGATTTTGAGGATCTGGATAGTAATAGCACATCGGAGATGGAACCGAACCAGAGCAGTGTAAACAGAAATTTAGAGGGGGTACACAGCATGGAAATCTTGCAATAACCACTTCCAGTTTTCGAGTGGGACACCGCTTGTCATTTTCTTCAAGGCAAAAGAAAGATGACCATATTCTGGGACAGGTAAGTTCGTATTGGTGGCTTCGTGAAGTAAAGAATACTTTCGGAATCTATAATGCGTTATAAAAGCTCTGTCCGGCACAATAGACATCACTAGATAACCTGAGGACAACTGCGCGATCGTATCAGCCATGTCGTTCATATTATTCTATGATGTCATGGCACCCATATTCACCGCATGGTGCGCATATTTTGGGTGAGTAATAGGGAATAATTGTTTACTGAAAGCTTTCTAAGGGCTAACACAACTTCTGGGAGCTCAGAAATGAACGGCACTGGTCTCGCTCATCGTTGCCTTTTTCCTTTTGCAATGTGCCTGCCACATCGACATATATTGAAGTACATTAACTGAATGTGGCGCCATTGTGTCTGAGTCGTCACAATAAAAATTATTTTGAAGTTTTCTGCAATGGGTACCATAGGTTTGAATACATAAAGCATAGACACAAGAAAATAAAAGATCTAGGGGTAGGCCAGGGAACTCATGGGATGTAGTCTCTTCAAAAAAGAACAAGGTAAACGGCAGACATTCATGAGACCTTAAATAAGGGTCGCTTCAACAAGTAGGATCGAAGTTTTGTAACTTCACCATTCTTTCCTATGCTCTGTAGTGGGTAGTCTCTTCAGTCTGGGGTTTCAGTGGCCTGTGTTTTCCTTCTCGTCTACAGACTAAGGTATTCTTCTGCCGAAGCGGTGTCACAGAGGGCCGAGGACTCAGAAGTGGGGGGTTCTATGTTTACAGAGGTGCGATTACTTGAAGGGCCACAAGCCTTCGATCTAACGTGAAATTCCACATTCGGCCTCCCGCGTCATCGGCTTCCAGCGAAGCCGGGGATGGTTGTTCTATAATCGTCGTGTGTTGACAGACATGCACAATCTGCGGCTTCACTATGACGTCGCGCCACATGATCATAGGCGTGTGCGCAGGCTTCCCTTTCAGGGTGGGGCGAAGGTTCGTGGCAGTGACTCCCCTCTGCGTTAAGTCATTGTGGGGAGCACGCTTTGCCATCCCTCCTCTTAGCTGAGAAGGGGGTGGGGCATCAATACATCGATACGTCGATTAAGAAGCATCAGTACATCGAGAATCAATACATCGGACATAAATACATCAATTGAGAAGAAAAAGAAGATAGTATTCGTCTTCGAGTCCTCTTGAGGGAACGCACAATGAATCCTGAGAGGGCTCTTGGTTCGTTATTTATTTGGGGTGGGACAACATGCTTATCTCTATTAAAAGTTATTCGCCTAAGATTTGCTGCCCTCCTAGCAGAGCCCATGTGGTAACGCCATCCAGCTCTTGCCTATTTGCCAGCAATAGCAAGCGACACCAGTAAAATGAAACCAAACTGAGGGAAACAGGAATTTTGCTTATCAAGAGCCGCGCCATGGTGGTCTAGATGTTAGAGTGCTTGACTTCTGACCATCAGGGGGGGGGGGGGTCGAATCCCGGCCGTGGCGGCTGCATTTTCAATGAAGGCGAAAATGCTCGTGGCCCGTGTACTCAGAATCAGGTGCACGTTGAAGAACCCCGGGTGGTCGAAATTTCTGAAGCCCTCAATTACGGCGTCACTCGTGATCATGTGGTGGTTTCGGGACGTTAAACACCAGGTATAATAGATGTAGAGAGGGCATCGAATTCACAAGAGATAGAGGAAAAAGAAGCATGCCTCTTGAATATGGTAGCACTGGACTCTGTTGCGCTGTCACACGTTTTGATTGAGTTCGCGTAGCGTGACGAAGTTGAACCGCTTTAGACTAGTGCTGCTTATCATAAGAAAGAAGAGTATGAAAGTTGTGAAAAAACATCGTCTATTCTTTCTCTTGAATACCAGGCTCATGTAGGAGCGTTGCTTTCGTATATGTACAAAGTGTCGAAAATGGGGTCTCTTTTTGCCCAGAGTATATTGAAAAGTGTAGTGACATGAAAGCTATTATATATATATATATATATATATATATATATATATATATATATATATATATATATATATATGGCTTGTTGCTCTAGATAAGGACACGGGTGTCGCAAACTTTAAGGACAGTGCCGTAGATCTTAGAAGTGCATTCAACATAGTTTCAATACCGATATTTTAACGAAGTACTTCAGGGTTAAGTATCGAAGTAGCGGCTTCACAGTGACGCGTCAACAAAAGTCACGGGAAGACAGCAACTTGCGAAATACTAGCACCAGCTCTGCCATTTGCTGTCAGTCGCGCTTGGTTCGCATGAACAATCATGAGTGAATTATCACCCAGCGATTCCGGCAGCAATTTGCGCGATGTATGCTGCACGCTGGAGGCAGACTTTGCGAACCCGGTGAACTGTGCTGACTCGTCGTGATAATGCCGATTGCAGTGGGGCTGGCTTGACAATTGTCATAATGTCAGACTGCCAGATTGTCAGCGGGGAGAGATAATTTCAATAGCTTTCGACACTCTCACTGGCCACTTGAATGGTAATCAGCCAAGGCTGTCCCAATAGAGTCCAAAGAATGCCGATTGGGCATCTACTATATTGCCATCAGACCCACGACGCGGCGTAAGGGCAAGGTCTCTTTGTACCAACCTACGAGTGGCCTGCTGTGCGCCAGACGCACGCACCAAAATACCTTAATAAAGCTAATTATCCATCCACGCATCGATCCATCTCCTATACTCATGATTACCTGCATCGATTTATTTATTGGCCATAGCGAACTGTTATTATGATTTGATGAGGTAGTGCACTTATGAGATGTTAAACTCGACTCTAACTAGAGCCCAGACTGGACACTATGGCATTTTTGGGGATACGCTAAATATGTCAAGCGCCCCAATCGAACGTCTTACTGTTCGTATTGTCAGCAGAGAACAACGGCTCACTTGCCCGTCACTAAGGTACTTGGAGACGCCTCACGGTCGTCGCCAC